GGTATCCGATTTTGTATGGAATCCCGGGTTGGTATCCATATCTAATCGTGCACTCAGAGCCTGTGCTCTGAATGTTGATTAGATATGACCGCCCTTCCGCAACTCCACTTCGATTAGATATTGCTACTTTGATTAGATATTATGAGTGGCTCCCCCGAACTACATTTTCACCGGTCGTATGTATCCGTTGAAGTTTCGAGAACGCGCAGGTGCTGCATGAGTAGTTCATGAAGGGGAAGACCGTTCAGGAATATTAAGCATTTTCAGAAATTACTACACGCGGTCGAATGTATGCTATGTATGCTAAAAACTGACAATTTTCTTCTTCTGGTATGTTCGTTCCTCCTCCTCCAACCGTCGTACTTGCTTTTCCATGCCTCGGATATCTTCATCAATCTGAAAAAAGGAGAATACAGAAAAAGTCCCATCATCATCGACCCAGGTACTACCTTTTCAATTTCTTCTCTAAGACGCTGCTCATCGTCCATTAACATCGAAGTGTCATGGGTTCTCATCACCATCGGCGACGCCGATAACGACATCGATGCTACAACTGCTGCTGATCCACTGCCGGCATTCAAAGCGTCAAGCTGATTCTGCAGCTGCGTCCTTTGTAGTCGGTGGTTCTGCGCCATCGTTTGAAGCTGCAAGCACCTCGCGCTAACAAGCGAATTTGCAGAATGGTGTCGACACAGAGATCAGAAACTTACACTAGAACACTTGGCTGACTGGCTGCTATATTCCAGCAAGAGCTGTTGACGTTGCAGTTGAGTCAACGAAGCAGTTTGTAGCGACTGGTTAATCTCTCCTACTCGGTGCTAAGAAAAAACACATCAAGACGATGGAATGAGGAAAAATAACAGGGGAGGACGCCCTACCACCATGGCTATCGTGTTCTTGTCGATATTTGCAGCAGTTATGTCATGATGCTTGATCTGCTCCTGCAACTGCTTCCTTGCAGCGTCAATTTGCCGCTGCTTTTCTTGTTGGAGCCTGCTAGAAATTCTGTATGGATAAGGAAATGGATGTTTTGAATTCGATCTCACTTTTCATGCGGTAACTCACCTCTGCTCTTGACGCTGTTGTTCAAGTTGACGTGCTTCCATTTGTTTCGCCTGAATCTGTCCCTTAAAAAGTACTTAGCGAGCACGCAGGGAAATTTTTAAAATTTGAATGGCCATCAATAAAGTAAAAATCGAAAATGTTATCAAATATCAAAACTGTATCTTCTGAAGAATCCCATCCAATGATTGAGTCATGCCCTTCTTTATATGAAGCACCTTCTCTAAGTATACGCGTCCTGTCAGCGAGGTGTTGGTGCCAAGAGGAAAGGAGCATAATGGAAGGTGTGTAGCTTACCAGGGAAGGATGGTACCGGCGGTAGCCGGAGGACCGATCTGGTTCACGATAACAATTGAATTTGAAACAACTAGTGATGCGATGCACAATTTGCGAGACCGTCGCACAAAAGCGCTTTCTGGATGAAACATTATGTTGATACTCGTGAGCAAATTCTTCAAAACTAAAGAAGATTTGCAAATGTACGCGCTCACGAAAGAGTGGAGGTCGCATAAGGTAACGGCGTCCTGCGGCTTTTAGTGAGCTGGTGGTTAGGTGGATAGCGTATTGGGCTTGCATTTGCACGGCAGGTTACGCTTTGTGATTCAAGTCCGCTCCATGGCGTGTTTTTTGCGTTTTTTATTGTCGCCTCTAAATTCGGCAATCAAAGTTGCGTTCAGCGCTGAAATTTGATAGTTATGGTTTTCTTCGTAAACAATCTGACGGATTAACATCACGCCAGCTCCGAACTGTGCCGCGAAATGCTTCCGTTCCAAAATGGAAGCCCATGATTCGATGATTCAGGACCCTGATTGATGCACACAGACAAAATCTTCAAAGACAATCGATATTTTTGACCTAACATGAAGAAGTGGAGATGATCATGGGCTTCTACAGCTCGTCATGAATGCGGCGGGCCACTTGAAGACGAGCGCGAAGCGGAAATCAAGCTCAGTGTCTAAATAATTCGAAGGAAAAAAGCTTGGGTCCATAAGGAGAAAAACCTACTGGGGCAAAACTACCAATCTTACCAAGACCAATCGGGGCCTCTGCTAAAACCTTCCTTTACCAGGTAATCGTATAGGTGCTGATGAGTGGTTCCGCCTCTACCCTGCGCCGTGTGTGGGATCAACATCTTTGTACGCGGTCCAAGCCAACAAGCCTCCATTCCGGGGTCTCGTTGGTCCGGTAGTGCGTTGATCTGGAGAGAAAAACCGCTATCGTTGGTGTGTGAGTCGCATCTATCAACCTTGTGAGACAAATCCGGCATTCAAGAATGCCCTGCGACGTCTGGAATGGAGCGCCAAATGTTCTTTATCTTTAATTCCCGTGTTCCCTTTTTGAAAAAAAAAAAACGAAATAAAAAAGTGCGGAGCATTCGGCCTCCTTCGCTGATTAGAGTAGTGAAATCTTTGGCAATGACTAATCTCTTTTGGCGATGCGCCACGCTTTCTACTTTCTTCGAGTCGTCGTGTCATTCGAGTGCTATACGGACTATTCTTTGACTTCCGAGGCCTTGTATAAGTTAGGGCTCATATTCTCCTAGACAGGTCTTGCGCCAACAAGGTGATCTCACAGTAGTGGGAGGCTTGGTTGGCCTGAGCGAGATGTGACCTAGAATTTTAGCTCTGGAAAATGTGCGGGGTATGTGGCTCCACTGCGCCAACCTCGCCCTTCTTCGCTGAACACTAGTCAACATTTGGCAGATGCTTCTTTAGGTGAAAATTGCATCCAGTATCAATTATGTTTCATTCCAGAAAGCGCTTTCTCTGTGCGACGGGTCTACAAATTGTGGCAGTGGCATCACCTAAGTTGTTTCAGGAATTTCAATTGTTATTCGTCCTAATCGTGCTGAACCAGATCGGTTCTCCGGCTACCGCCGTACCCATTACCTCCCTGCCGGAAGCACGGACACCTTTCCATTATGGCTCCTTTGCTCTTTGGGCACCAGACACCTCCGCTGGACAGGACGGCCGTATACTTAGAGAAGGATGCCACCATATAAAGAGGGCATGACCAATCATTGGATGGGATTTTTCAGAAGATACATACAGTTTTGATATTTGATAACATTTTCGATTTTTACTTTATTGATGGCCAGTCAAATTTTAAAAATTTCCCTGCGTGCTCGCTAAGTACTTTTTAAGGGACAGATTCAGGCGAAACAAATGGAAGCACGTCAACTTGAACAACAGCGTCAAGAGCAGAGGTGAGTTACCGCATGAAAAGTGTGATCGAATTGTCTGTAGATGATAGTCAGTGGCTGATATCCATACAGAATTTCTAGCAGGCTCCAACAAGAAAAGCAGCGGCAAATTGACGCTGCAAGGAAGCAGTTGCAGGAGCAGATCAAGCATCATGACATAACTGCTGCAAATATCGACAAGAACACGATAGCCATGGTGGTAGGGCGTCCTCCCCTGTTATTTTTCCTCATTCCATCGTCTTGATGTGTTTTTTCTTAGCACCGAGTAGGAGAGATTAACCAGTCGCTACAAACTGCTTCGTTGACTCAACTGCAACGTCAACAGCTCTTGCTGGAATATAGCAGCCAGTCAGCCAAGTGTTCTAGTGTAAGTTTCTGATCTCTGTGTCGACACCATTCTGCAAATTCGCTTGTTAGCGCGAGGTGCTTGCAGCTTCAAAACGATGGCGGCTTTTAGTATCTCTAGTGTGTGTAGTGTTAAGGACGGGCAGCTGCCAGAAATCAACTTGACGCTTTGAATGCCGCAGTGGATCAGCGCGTTGTAGCACTCGATGATTCGTTATCGGCGTCCGTAGTGGGGTGATGGAGAACCAGGGGCATACTTCAATGTTATGGAACGATGAACAGCGTCTTAGAGAAGGCAAATTGCAAAAGGTAGTACCTGGGTCGATTATGATGGGACTTTTTCTGTATTCTCTTTTTTAGATTGATGAAGATATCCGAGGCATGGAAAAGCAAGTACGACGGTTGGAGGAGGAGGAACGAACATACCAGAAGAAGAAAATTGTCAGTTTTAGCATACTTATAGCATACATTTCGACCGCTGTAGTGAATTCTGAAAATGCGTTGAAGATTCATGAAAGAAAATGCCCTGCCGTCTTCCCATTCAATGAACTACTCACTGCAGCACCTCGTTGTGGTGTTGCGCGTTCTCGAAACTTCAACGGATACATACGACCGGTGAAAATGTAGTTCGGGGGAGCCACTCATAATATCTAATCAAAGTAGCAATATCTAATCGAAGTGGAGTAGCGGGAGGAAAGGCTTGATCAGTCGCATTATGTTATTTTGGTGAAATAAGCAGTCAGGCTTTTTTGCTATAGGACAAGGAAGAATTACGACGTGGTCGTTGCCGATTAATCAGGGAAGGATGTGATGTGTTGTGTGGTTTAAGTGATGATGTGCCTTTCCCCGCAACTTAACTTTGATGCGAATATTCTTCGCTACTCCACTTCGATTAAATAGGATGTTCCCCCCCCCCCGAACTACATTTTCACTCATACGACCAACATAATGGTTGTACTTACTGCGTACTTGCTGGCACTTTTTTGATTTCATGATCAAGATGGTTGGAGAGGTGTGGTTTTGATAATATTGCTGACTGGCATTGGTAAGCTAGACTCCTGAGCGTGCTGGGTGTGGTGGGGACCGCCCCTTATGTTAGCGTTCTTCCACCATTGGAGGATGTCAGACTTGGCGATAGTGTAATCGCGGCGATTATTGGCGTGATTCTAGAGCAGGCGTGATAGGAACCTGACTATAAAGCGCTGTTCCGTCGTGCTAGTATTGCGCTGTATTACGTTCAATGACGTCATCAAAACCCCCACCACCCTTCGTCATCGCAGTCGTTGCCTTTGAGAGCATGTTAAAGGCAAACCGTTGGATTAAAACTGGTGCTAGTAGTTAGTGATAGCTTAGCTGCGGAACGACCTGAAAGTGGAAAGGAAAGCAAGAGAAATCTTTGGGAACGCTGAAATTAAGGCCTTAACCTTCAGTAAGGTCGGATGTGGTACGATGGCGAGACAGGCGGTCAAAGAAGACAAAATACGCGAGAGAGCACGTCGTTTGAGAGAGCACGCTGATCTCTGTATCAAATAGCGGTGGGTGGGAGCGTGTTGCCAGCGGGGTTCGATGGTCGCAGGCCTGTAAGGATTGGCTCCCTAACCGCGCAATTTTAGCGACGAAGCTGGAGTGATTTAGGTAGGTACGGATCTTACAATCCCTCGTGGTACCCCTCCTACCAGTCGGGCTAATCCCGAGGTTTTCCTTGATTAAAGGCAAGATTCAGGATTAAATTATGAGGTAATTCCACTCAAATGTGAAAGTAGGGGTAGGAAGTGGACCGCCAGTGGAGAAAAAAGAAAAAAATCGTGAAATGCACAGGAATACGAGCCTTTTGCTCTACGCTGCGGAGAAGTTCAAAAAGCCGGCAGGGAGATGAGAGATAAGTATTAAGTTTTATTAACGTTTGCATTCAAAAGGATGGCAGGGGAGATGAGAGATAATGTGAGCGCGGAGAGCGCTAGAGAAGTCGAGTAGAGAGAGCATAGCAGATCAACATTGCGACGCAGACAAGATATCGAGCGGTGGGCGGAGCGTGTCGCAACAGGTGGAGCGTGTCAAAGTTCTTAGCGCCTAGCGTCTAAATAACGCTTTTCGAAGTAGGGAAGTGACGCGACTTCTACACTTGCGTACCTAACCTCTGATGTCCACAAAATGCGATTAGGGAGTCTTGAGCCTGAAATTCTTGCCTTAAAGCAACAGTTCAGGGAGGGTCCGAAAATTTCAATGCCACTACTACTGAGGGATACACGAGCCCTAGTGAAGAACATATGCAGTGGAAATAATAAACGAACTTACCTCAGAAACTCAAAAACAGGGTGGAAAGTCCCTCAAACATGGGTGTTCTTGGGGATTTCCCCAATCCCGCCCCCTTGCCGGCCGTCATTGGACGCGTCGGCAATCGTGCTCGTTTTGGGACCACAGGGAAAATTGATTGAAAAATGGAGCGCGTTTACAGCGGGCACGTTCAGACAACTCGTCCAACGTGCGTCTTTATCCATTGCTGAGCGGCAGAGGGAGAGTACCTGTCTAAGACCCTCCCCGACGTTTTTTTTCCAGTTTTTCATACATTAATCGTCTGGTTTTCATCTACAACTTCATTATTGGTGGTTTTTTCCCGCGAAACCGTTCCTGAACTGTTGCTTTAAAGGGAAGCCTATTAAGACTAGCTTGACGCCGCAAGCCATCTCGGCTCATAGCACGGTTCCTTGGGCTGAGGAAGGGGTACAGAAATTCAGAAACTTATTGTTAGTTCCGCCCATAATGGCCATTTGATTTCTCCTCGTCGCTAACCTTTCCCTAATTCTCCCTGGTCTTCTTGGAATTGAATTATAAGATTTGTGGGGAAATCCCATAAGTGCCTCCGTCCACCAGCAGTTGGTGCTCCTCCACCAGATTCTACTCATTTTTCCCGAGTCATATCTAGTATGGGGCGGAAGTAGTGTAGTGGCAAGTGGCACGCTACCACGCGGTCCGGGGATCAAATCCTGGGTCGTGAGTCGCCCGGGCCAACCAAGCCTTCCATCGGTTAATTGGTACCAGACTTGTCTGGGAGGATAAAAACACTGACTTGAACATCGGCTGGCCCCCGCAAGTCATTGTATAGGCCACATCGCATTCAAACGCCACTACGAATGTACAAATGGAAGTAGAATGCGTGCCGCATCCCAAAAAGGGATTGATCAACGGCAAATGCTTTATCCTTTATCCTTTATTTGCGTAATGTGACATTCCTCACCTGCCGTTCTCCCATCACACTGGAAGGGTGTTCCTGTTATCATCGCGGTTTATAGTCAAGCTGAGCGTAGACAGTATAGCCACAATCGTAGCGTGTCCATACAATGTTTCTTCCATGCTGTTATAATGTTTCATAAAATCTTGAGCGGAATGCTATCAATACCACAAACGACTTGTCATGTGAAAAATTCGTAAACAAAAAGGGTTTTTGTTCAGCAAGCAGAGCAAATGATCACGTCGGCTTTTCGAATCAATTCAACCATGCAGGATTTCCAAGCCAAGCAAGAACTCAAAGAGGTAGGTTGGAATGGGGGTGCACTCAAAATTTTCCACTCACGTTCTTCCTTATGCAAATAAAAAGAAATACCAGAAAAGGCATACGATTACAGGCCCAGGACAATATGCGTGTAGTTGAACATTCCCGGCTCACCTTCCAGAAGAAGCTTGACAATTTGCGTGAGAAGTACGTTATTCTTAAGATATTATGATGTCAGTTTATGGAGTTTGACGCATTTGCAATAATTTCAGTCGTGAGCTGCTGATCAGGCAACAACGAATGCTGTTGAATAGCGGTGGCACAAGCGGCGATTATTGTTGGTGGCTCTGGTAGCATGAGCAAAGGAGTAGTGAAAGATTTTGCTCAAGCGCAACAACAGCAAC